AGACCTACCCCTGATTTTCAGAAATCCTGGTTTCAAAATCTTTTACTGATTACTCTTATATGATGTTATGCAAAGCATGAATACAAATGTAAATGTAAATGCATGTATGAAAAAGTGTAATTCAAGAGTAATTATCTTAAAACAACTTCCATTGAACACAAAAAGGGCTTTTCAATACACCAAAAGGATCATTACATATAAGTGATAGTTTTCCCTCCTAATTTTTCTATCTCTTTAAAAAGCCAAGTTAACTTCCATTTATGCTCCAGAATCATATTGTCATCCTGCTTCAGCTCCCTTGTAAAACCAGCTAGGTTCACCAGCTTGTGGGCTACCTTGCTTGCTTGAGCAGCAGCTTTATTCATATCATTATCTTTTTCTTGAATCTTGTCTGTCATTTCTCGAAGTTGCAGACAATATTGTTCATTTTCCTTTATCAAAGAACCTTTATGTTCAAGGAGTTCTTGTACCAGATCTCCATATTTATCTACCATTTTTAGCAATGTGTGGTTCTGAGCTCTAATGGATTTTAATTCAACATTAATCTCACATTGATGGATCATATATGAAGTTTCCATGTTGGCTATATCCTTCTTCAATATCTGGCTTTCAGCTTGACATTTCTCCAAATCGGTGATGGCTGCATTGTATATTTCTTCGGCAATTTGAAAGCCATAGGAGAATTTTTTTTTCTTGATCCTCATATTGCTTTTTCTAGTAATCAGTATCACTCTTTAGTTTAATGATTTCTGTCATCCATTCTTCAGGGGTATTTCCTAGTCCAATATCTTTGAAGGTTTGACTGACTTTTCGAAAATCATCAAGCATGGCTTCAACCTCTATGCTTAATTTCTTGTTTTCATCTTTCCAAAAATGGGCTTGAGCTTCATAAAAATTCTCTCCCTTGTGACTGCTTCTATTGATTCTCATACCATAAAATGTTTTTGGCACCAGTCTAACAGGATTTTTGAATGCATAGCCCTTCATTAATTTGAAAGCTTCCTCGAGATATCCTTCTTTGGCTGCTCCATAATTTACTTGATCACGAAACCCTTTGTCCATAATAAAAGCCTTTGATTTTGATAATCACTCTTGAATCAACACCCTTGGTATGTTATGATTATGTGAATGCAAACAGAATAATTAATATGTGCATTTCCAGAATATATACAAAAACTGGTTAGTAAAAAAATTATATCCTAACCTTATGCTTTTTAGTTCCATGCTTTGTTTGGAAAAATAACCTAACCGCATTATTTCTAGTTCGTATGCATTTATTCAGAAAATAAAATAATAATGTGTAAATTAAAAGACTCAACATGCTTCTAAAAGTCAGAAAATCCACCATAAAATGATTGGCCAACCAACACTGATCACCACTTCATTGTATGGTATGGTTCCTACCCCGATCAACAATGATTGGATTTACACATATCTGCTCAGCTGCACAGAATCATAGAGTTCGGATCCTTCACGTAATCACTTCCATCTCCACAAGACATGTAGGAAGCCGTAGAGTTGACAATTGATTTGTTCGAATTAAATTTAGGTCGGATCATTTCGGATTTACACTATTTAATTTAAACGGGATAATATTTAGTTCATATCTATGATAAGTCAGATAGATTTAATTTTGGATTAGTCGATTTTTTAGGTCAGGTTAATATTGGATCGATCAGTTTTATATTCGGGCCAATTTTTGTCCACGAGTATATATAGAATTATTGATATAATTTTGTAAGAAAATATATTATTTTATCGATCATATCATTTAAGCTCAATTTGAAATCCTAATTATTCAATCTTTCGAATTCAACAATATTTGGGAATGACAATTCAACCTAGACCTAACCCTGTAGGACTTGTTAAAGTTTATGACCTGAATTTTATATTGATCCGGTTTAAAAAGTTTGTAGTGCAGCCTATTTGATAAAGAAATAAAATTTTCAATTACAAATTTTATTCTCAATTAAAATTTTCAATTAGATAGTTTAATATTTAATATAAATATAATATTATTATTAGATTTTCAAAAATAATATAATAAGTATATCTTTGAATGTATATCGGTTTAAAAAGTTTTATAAATGATACTATTTTACTTAGTTTTGAATAAGTGAAGATTTTTTTATTTATCTCAGATAAATAAAAGATAATATATGTTTAAAGACATTCAATCATTTGAAATTGAACAGTCACATGCCTGGTATTCATGGTGCTCGTACTCGGGACCTTAAGAAATAACTACAATTTATTTGCCACTAAAATTGCTTGGTTCGTACTAAGCCAAGAAATACTTATATTCCTAAAAATATGAAGATTTTGATAATATATTGTAGTTGATTGTTCGATTATGAATGTAAATTTTTTATTACCCCTTAAATTTGTTTTTAATTGCTCATAGTAAAGTTGATTTACTACATCGTCTTGCACTAGTAATCTATTGCATTTACTTATTTTAATTTAAAAATTACATTGCTTAATTTTTTGTTTAACTAGTAAACAAATTAATAATTTATTGTTATTGTTTATGTAGCTACGTTATGTCGAATTTGTTAGTTCTTATGTAGATGGGACAATAATAAAATCCAAGAGTAGATGTATATATTATTTGTGTCTATTATTATTATAAAATTTAAGAGGATGAAATTTGATTTTTTAAACTATTTTTTGATGTTTTTATTTTTATTAAAAAATCTAATATAATTTGGTTTAATATGTAAAAGTAATCGAGTGTAGATTTAACTTAATCTATAGTTACATTTTATTTTGAATTAGAACTCTTTATTTGAGACTTATGTTTTATGTTAATTTGTGTTGATAAAAAATGTGAATTTTTTTCTTTTAAAGTCAATTATAATCTACGGTCTAAGTGATATCAATAAAAGTTAATCATATAAATATAATGTTAGACGGCGAATAACTTTATTTTATAATTATTTTAAAAGAGAAAAGATTATATTGAATCATTATATTATTACTAGAGGTGATGGTTAACTAATAATATAATACAAAGAGAAAATATAGCATACACTATTTACTATTTATAATATCAAAAAAATAGATACCTCAATTATCATATTAAAATCGAGTTGATGTTCAGTTTGAATTAAATTTAGACAAATTAGTTTCAGATTACTTTCGATTCAAATTAAATTGGATAAGAATACATATCAATTCAGCTAAAATTTAAGTCAAATTTGGTTCAATTCGATTCATTTTAAGTATAAAATCAAATTTACGCTATTATGATTGGGTTCGTATTAAGTTTTGAAATCGGGAAAATCAATTCGAGTAATCGAGTTTCGATCAAATACACAAAAATCGATTTCATCGGTAAACGTTGACAAACAAAAAAATCAACAAAAATGACACAAAGTCATCACGAAACAAGGGGAAAATCATTTCCATTCACTAAGGGTGCGTTTGGTTCAGGGAATGTAAGATTACCAGTGGGAATGTAAGATTAACAGGGAATAGGATTACTGGGAATGTTGTATTTTGTGTTTGGTTGGTTTAGCAGGAATGTAAGATTACCGTGTTTGGTTAAAGGAATAAAAGATTATTGGAATGTATATTTAATTAAATTGTCCTTATTATATATTTGTTTTTTAACAAGTTAGAAAATATTTATATATTTTCTTTAAAAAATTTAAATTCATAAAATTTATATATATATATATATATATATATATATATATATATATTTTACAAAATTGAAAATATAAAAATATTTAATGAATAAGTAAAATTTTATTTTAACCTTGAACTTCATATAAAATTTTAATTATAGATTTTTTTTGTAAATCTAAAATAGTTTAAAGATAAATTTGTAATTTAACCTTCATACAATTTTTATTATTCAATGACAGAAGAATTATATTTTTGAAAAAAAAAAATAATAATTTAAGGGCATTTTAGTCCAAAACGCCGATAATCCAACAATACCTAAGGAAAGGGAGGTAATGACATTCCCGATAATATATCCCAAAAAATCTACTATTGGTAATAAAACATTATCGGGAATGAGATTCCCGGCCAACCAAATATGGGAATGGAATCCACATTCCCCCGTTTGGTTAGCCCGGGAATACCATTCCCGGTAATGTGATTACCAATAGTGGATTTTTTTGGATATATTACCGGGAATATCATTACCTCCATTTCCTTAGGTATTGTTGAATTATCGGCGTTTTAGACTAAAATACCCTTATTTTTTTATTTCAAAAATATCTTTTTTTTGTCATTGAATAATAAAAATTATACGAATGTTAAATTACAAATTTATCCTTAAACTATTTTAGATTTACAAAAAAATCTATAATTAGAATTTTATATGAAATTCAAGGGTTAAAATAAAATTTTATCCTTTCATTAAACCTTTTTATATTTTTAATTTTGTAAAAAAAAATTATATAAATTTTATAAATTTAATTTTTTTTAAGAAAATATATAAATATTTTTTAACTTGTTAAAAAAACAAATATATAATAAGGATAATTTGGACAAATATACATTCTAATAATCTTTTATTCCTTTAACCAAACACGGTAATCTTACATTCCTGCTAACCAAACACAAAATACAACATTCTCAGTAATCATATTCCCTGATAATCTTACATTCCAATTGGTAATTTTACATTCCGTGAACCAAACTCACCCTAAGAGTAAAATGTTTTTAACATATGTATAGGTAAGACCAATTCCATACTAATACAACGTACAAAAAATGCCGATCGACATACAGCATAAAGAAACAAAAACCACCCATTTCTCTGCAATCTGTCTCAACTTGGGAATTTGGAATTTTCAGTTTTAGTGCAAACACAAGACAACCACCACGACGAAATAAGCAGGGGAAGATATCACGTCAGCAAGCTTCCACAGAAAAGCACGATTCCTTACCAAGGTAATCTACGGGAAGCAATATACCATTATCGACATGGACCTTCAGCCGCAACACTCCCCGCTACCTGCACTAACACAAAAGTTGTGAACTTTCCAGTCAAAAATAGATGTACTTAACTACTGCATTGGGAAGCTGCACTTGCAGGGCACTTGGATTATAAGGAATTAATGTATCAGACTAAAGAAGTAAGAAGCAAAATTAATCAAAGTCAAAAGGTTCCGATACGAGATAAAAGAAAAGCAAACATATGAATGTAAAGACAAACAGATTATGCTCATTTCATAGCCGATACTCGGTGAAGTTACTTAGCATATTCAATATTCTATCAGGAAGCAGTCATGCGATCTAAGCCTGTTAATTACAGGTATTATGTTTTTTGTGCAACTCGTCAATCCAACAAATACTTCACGGGTTAGATTACTCTAGATAGATGAATATAAAAATTACTTTGCAGAAGAATAATTCAACACTGATAAAAGATTATTAGCAAATAGTCATAGTGAGCACATGAATGGGACGATGTATTACCTGAGAACAAGATATCTCCTTATACAATTAGTTAAGGGAAGCAATGTCATTATCATTCTGCGATTCTACGCTTCTTTGACTTTTTAATGTGATTATTGTAGCTCAAGGGAGTTGCTTTTTCACCGACAGTTTTATCCCCCAGCGATTCTCTATCTCTACTCTTTGTAGCACTCCTACAGAATTATACAACATTTACATTAAGACCTTTGCAAGTTGATTTGCAAAGGGTTGCTATAAAAAAGACCGAGTTTATTTAAAGACCTATCAATTTCTGAAACTTCCTCCGAATTCCTATCTAACCAGCGAATGCTTCCTGTGTGAGCTGGAGTCAGAGATCCAGTGATGTGAAGTATTTCCTCGTCAAAACTGCAAAAGAACCCGTGTCAAAAAATCATGTGATTAATGTGTCTTTAACCACCACATGGTCCACACCTTCCCTATCTCCAAGAGGGGGAAAAACAATAAACCAGAACTTCAAATAAGTTGTTAGTCTCCAATGAAAATCAACTTGCCTTTATAAACTACAATGAAACATTATTGAAAGGAAAAGCAAGTAGAACCAAGGCATAAAGACTAAAGCAACAAGATTCTATGATCCACTGGTTTGCAATGGACTAAAAATGAATGACAAACGAAATAACAAAAGCAAGGAGGCAAGATGTCAATAGGCATACTGAAAATCCAAATTATTTATAATTAAGACTAGGCCTTAACTACAAATATATACATATTTGATCAACGAGCAGAGCAAATAAACCAATCCACGATCTCAATTTACAATCTTAAGATAGCAGACGAAAATAAGCCGACTAACTATAAAGAATACTATTTATCTCCAGCTTACAAAAAAATATTGATGGTAACCGGAACAGTACACTAATGAAAAACATACGCTATTCTTAAATTAAAAGGATAGTTTTCTTTTGAAAGGAAATTGTCACCTCTTGACTAAAAAACGGATCATGGTGCCAACCTTTATGACATGCCGCTTGTGAGATTTGCTGGCAAATAATTCCTCTCCGTCTTTCTATGATGCAATAAGACACTAAAGTAAGTTGTTACAGTAATAAACATAGTATCTTTCCGTAAACGCATACACAACCCAAAAGAAAGAAAGAAAAAACAAGATAGAAAAGTGTTACATTTCTATATTTAAATTCTCCACGGATGTTTTCAGCTGTTATGATAACAGATGAAAACCCAAGAACAATGACATGAATAGATTCTTGACAAAGCTTCACTACCTTTCCCTCTGAACATGGAAAGGAAAATTAGTTTAGACAAATATCATAGGCCCTGCAGATTCATAAATACATACAAGCAGTGTAAAAAAATAAAATAAATAAATAAATAACCTGAAAGATCATGAAAAAGTACCTATGACCATATCCGGTTTTGGCGAAAATAGTAGGAGATTTGCTTTTAGTTTAAGACCAAAATACGGATGAACACCGGAAAGAATTTTCGCCTTTTTATCAATAATATTAACATCATAAGCCAATAAAACACCATCAAATGTTTCATTGAACCTGCAAGAAAGAAGAAGGAAGACTTCATAACAGGACAAAAGGAAGCAAATATTCTAACATCATTCGATTATTATTATCAACATTACTAGTTTGATTATTTTACAAGCTTCTCCATTTGTTCAAAAAGACACACAATGTCATTTAGATTTTAGATCACATAAGCTGTTTTAAATCACACGAGTCATCCTAAGAAGTTAATTTTCAGCTAGAATAGAAAACTGAGCTCTGCATTAACCAAACCAAAGGTGTAATTTAATTAAACCACAAGCAATATCAACACAAATCAACAACTTTTGGTGAACGGGGACATAATAAAGAAAAACAAAGGATTCAAGTAATAAAAGAACGAACATGAAGAGCCAAGAGCCAAGCTCACGGAGGATCGCCTGGGAAGCATTCCTGCTCTTCGAGGGGTGTAAGTACATTACCAAATTAGCATCTGCTACGCTTAATCCTTCCATTTGAAGATGCAATCAAATCCCAAAACTGAAACTTGAGGGATTCAAGATAGCAAGTCCGGGTTTTTCTTCAGAGGGGACAAAGAGAAAACCCTGGAATGAAAAACCCTAACTGACCACTATAATTTTAACTACCGAGTATTTGAAGTTTGAACAGCTTTAGATTGGACCTTAAAGCTTGACGTCCACATCAGGAATATATGTTTGGGCCTATACAATTTAAATTAATTGTAGAATTTTTTGGGCTGTATATATATATATATATATATATAATCTTTGTATTCATACGACTTGGTTAAAAGAAATAACGTAGTAGATGTCACATGCGTGAATCGGAATTATTTATAGACTTATAACACATTGAATATTCAAGAATTAATTTAGTCAATAACAAACATGTGTTATTTCAAGTAGAGTTGAATCACATGGAATTTAATCATCGAGGAAGAAGGAACTGCGTAACCTTTGGACTAATTTGTAAATGCTTTAAAACTCGATGACTAAATCATTGACTTTACAAGAATTAAATCTTTTGAAGAAAACACGAGTACACTAGAATTCATAAAGGTTATTAGGGCTTGCATGGTTAAAAACATCCTTTGGCGAAGCAAATCATAAAAACATAGAAAGCAATGACCATTTCTCGTAAACCTAAGAAATTAATACAAAATCGAAATTTTAAAAGTTTTTAGGTTCAGAGTTTTGAAGTTCATTCAAAAATATTGATACTTTCACCGAATTTCGAAAACTCTAAACTCTCTAAAATATGGGTATCGAAACCTGTCTCAAAGTATCAGGACTTCCTTAAAAATATCGTAACTCTTAAATTCATTACATTGAGTGTAACACCCTTACTCAGTCTAGAAGTCGAACACAAGTCAAAGATATTACAACATCAATCATAAACAAGTTCTAACAATCCGGTTGATGATTTAAAACCTTTGGTCTTGAAAGATACATCAATAACATTTATAAGACTTCTGAATTATCCTTAAATCGAAGAGATTATTAGAAAAATATGAAGTAAACTAAGCTAATTTAAGTGAAAGCATTCACAAATATGCTTATTTTAACTCCAAATTATCCTAAAATTCTTAGTCTTTTGGTTTATAAAACTCTCTCTAATTTGAATCCCAAATTATCCTTAAATGAATATGTGATAAAACATTTAAAACATATAATAATGATAGTTATATATTTTAATTATTATAACAAAAAATTATAACTATCTCATAACGATAATTTGATTTATACAATATATATTAAAAAATATAATTGCAATAATTTTATATTTAATTATTAAAACCGAAATTCATAACCATCTCATAAAAATAATTTCGGTTGTACCATATCTAATTTGTATAGAACATACTTGAAAATATAATTCGTTCACTATTTAAATGTCCAATTAAATTAATCAATTTAATTAATGTTATCTCATAACTATATATATTTTCAACCATACTTGGATTTTGTTCGTTTCAACAATAAAATATGATTCTATAGCTTTTATTAATATTAATAATAATATCAAAATAATTTCGATATTACAAATAATGAGTGACATTTTGTAGTAAATCATTATCACTTAAATTATAAACGGTCATAGTTCAATATAACCTTCCTATGATTAACTTTTTCATGTATTATATTCTTTTATCCTTTATATAATGATTAATATTCATAAAAAGAATTCATTTAATATTCTCATACATATTTACTTATTTTAGATGAACAAGCATACAAAAGTCTATAAAAGTTAACATAAATATAAAAAAGATAATGGGTTAGAACCAGTGGTGGATCTAAATCAAATTTAAAGTAGACGTGTTTATAATGAAATCTGAATTCTCTTCAATTTGTTACTTATTTTATTTATTGTGTTCACCCATATGAAAATTGTGTTATTAACATATGCATGTTCACCCTAAAAAATATTTCCAAACCCATCACTAGTTGGAACTTAATTCATTGATGTGCCTAATAATTATAAACAATATTCGAAGCCAAATGGATCTATAAAAAGATTTTCGTTGGGAAACTTATTTATTAATATCAGATGTGTGATATAAATTGATCCGAATTATTAAGAGTAAAGATATGAAGAAGCGGAACGACAAAAAAAGAGGAAAACATAGAAAGGATCATATTTCTCATCCACGTCGATGCCATGCGTGACCGCTCCACACAGATCATGTTTCTCATCATATGTGGATTGTTCACTTAGAGCTTAAAACAAAAACTTGTAATACATGCCGTCCAGTAACTAGTTTTTGCATTACATTATTTATATATTCGTAACATTAATTAAAATATATTAATTTTTAAAAATAATTGATAAGAATTAAATTTATCTTGTTGGCTGATGGTTTATTCTTTTTGATTTAGACAAAAAATCACAACTAATTACAAAATAGCCGTTAGTTGATGTTTCTCTATACGAGAAAGATCATCATCAAGAAGACATTGATTATTTATATTGTTGAAGGTCCGATCCTCTCTCAATTGTGACTGAGGGGAATTTATAATGATCATTAATTGACAGTGTCAGACATATGATAATTATGACTATTTGTAAGTTATCATATTAAATAGATTTAATCGTTAGATCTTAGATTTTGCTCTAATAGATCACGTAAATCAGTAAGAAATCTTGTTCATGCATTGTAACTGACTGGGAGGATGTAAGCTCCTTGTAGGCTTTGTGGTAAGAAGAGGGATTATTCAAAGGTATCGACTGACAAAGTATTTACAGTTTCTAGAGGTTATTCTCTGGAGATATAATAAATTGTTGTCCCTTAATCAAGTGAATATCATAAAGCTTATAGTAGAAAGTATAGAGATACTTTCTCGATTTTATTAGATAGCATAGATATCTCGATACTTCGTTAGAGTAAAATAGAAAGTGATGTTTCTCGTAGGGTGTAACATCTCACACGGGTGAAAGAGAAGATGTTCGCGTTTTCACGTTACAAAAGATAGTGGGAATTCGAATCTCGACAAGATGAATAATAACAAAAATACCTCGACTCTTTCAGCTATACATTGATGGCAGCGACAAAGTTACTGTATTAAAAGGTAAAGATGAGATTCTCAAAACTCTGGTCGAAGAGAAGGCGACCCATTGTCCTCAAATGGATCCGGTAGGCAAGCAAATGTACATTTACCATGATAAATCAAAGCAAAAATGTCGGAGTGGAGGCGTTTCAACCCTTTAAATAGATATGTAATCCATCACTGAAAAATGTTCAGGTTGCATTAAATAAAATGATACATAATTGTTGTATTAAAATGATACTAATTAGCTGCCACCTGAAATGGGAAACAAGCAAATCCATGTCGCCAACGTGGTATAATACGCCACGTGAGGTCTTCCTTATTATCCTACACACCTCGCTTTGCTCCCTTCTTTTCTGAATTCTCTACAGTTTGTACTGTTTTCGTGTTCTGTTAGTGGACCTGCACATTTCTTTAATAATCTTTTATTATAGAATAAATATTATATTTTGGTTCCAAGGTTAAAGCTGCAACAGAACCACCTGTATCCAGAAAGTCCGTGCAGGATAAGAGCATGCACTCTCTTCCCAGTTTTAAGCAGCTTTCATGTCATTCATTTTTGTATTATAAAAACTGAAAAAATTGGAAAAAAAAGTTTATTTGACAAGTGTTTTTTAAATAATGGGCTTTGGTCTGTTTCATGATCGAGAATGAGGAAGCAGAGCAAATAGAGCGATGATGATGAGGATAGTGGGGTTTCAATTTCATTGAATGGTCTATTATCTTTTCGAGGGGAAAGAGAAGGAGAGATACTTTTTGGTCGGCGTGCTTTGATGATGCTAACTGAAGGGGTAGCTGTTTCTTTTTGGTTATACCAAAAAGCTCCCCACCCACATATAAGAAAACACCTTCCTTTCAGCGTTACTTCCCTTTTCTTTGCAGGTTTTTGTTCCTTGATTTTGGACTCTGCTGGTGGGGCTAAGGGGGTAAAAAACTAAAAAGGTTCTCTTTTGACAACTTGGGATTGCGGATTGCCTTGTTTAGTGTTTCATGAGACTCCCCCTATTTTATTTTCCTTCGATAATGCTGAATGGGTTGTGTTGTTGAAGAGAATATCAAAACAGTAGCTTTGGTTAATGGGGGTACACAACTCACTCTGCTTGAGGAGATGAAGTTATTGAAAGAAATGCATGATCAATCTGGTTTGTTTTTCTTCATTAAAAACCCAGACAACATTCTTTTTCTTTGTTTATTTTTGAACACTTTGTCCTCATGTGTTAAAATGAGACAGTTAACATGCGTCTTGTTATTCTGTCTGTGGGTTATTCTTCTCATGGCTGATTTCAGGGACCCGAAAGGCTATACATTCCGAGCTATGGCATGCCTGTGCAGGTCCACTTGTTTTCTTGCCTCAGGTGGGGGAGTCTTGTGTATTACTTTCCTCAAGGACATAGCGAACAGGTTTGCATTTATTTCTCACACTTGATATTTACTCTTTTGCAGGATATAAAAATTGGATCTTTTGACCCTACAGATTCAACACGGTGGGATAAAACCATCAGAACGTTGTTTGATTACAAAAATTGTACTAAAATCCCAAAAATGCATGATAGACTTCTGGTGAATTTTGTTAATCAAGAACTGAAGGACCAATAATGGTTGTATTCTTCTTGAGCAAGTAGCAGTGTCCACCAAAATAACGGCTACATCTCAAGTCCCCAACTATCCTAATCTTCCATCTCAGCTCATGTGCCAAGTTCACTACATTACACTACATGTATGCCATTTATTTATATTCCTTTTAATGAAAATGAGTCCCGTGATGCCATTTAAGCTTAAATATTGTATTATCTAATTGATGTTTGCTTCTTTGTAATATTTTGATAGGCGGACAGAGATACGGATGAAATATATGCTCAAATGTGCCTTCAACCAGTGAACTCTGTAAGCTTCGCTAGTGTGATATATTTCTAAAACTCTTACTAATTTTCCACAACTTTTTAAAAAAAATCAATCTTCTTATGAACTTCCTATATGATGATGTTCTCATTCTCATGGATTTTCCTTCGAATAGGAAAATGATGTCTTCCATATACCAGACTTCGGACCGAATCCCAGCAAGCATCCTAGTGATTTTTTTCTGCAAAATTTTGTCTGCAAGTGATACAAGTACACATGGTGGTTTTTCAGTGCCACGTACAGCAGCTGAGAAGCTCTTTCCTCCATTGGTGAGGTTTTTAGTAGGGTGACCATTGAAGCATGCAGGGGCATTATGTAAAATTTCTTCTGTTTCCATATATTTTCAGGATTACACAATGCAAACCCCATCCCAAGAGCTTCTTGTGCGAGACTTGCATGGGCGTTTCACCACATATACCGAGGCGAGTGTTATTTTGTATCATATACCTTCTGTTTCAGCAAGTAATCTTATTATAACAGCTTTACACATGAAAATTGTTGTTATTGTTACTTTAGATTGAGTATCATATATGTTGTTTTTATGTAGGGAAGCCGAAGAGACATCTTACAACTGGGTGGAGTTTGTTTGTCGGATCAAAAAGGCTTAGAGCAGATGATTCTGTTCTCTTTATCAGGTATGCTATAGTCAGTATACTGCATTTTTTCAGCTTTAAGCTTTGTACTTGCATCCTACATCATGTCTTATTGTTGCAAGGGATGAGAAATCTCAGTTATTGGTGGGTGTGAGGCATGCAAATTCAACAAACAACATTACCATCATCAGTTCTATCTGTTGATAGTATGCACATTGGTGTTCTTGCTGCTGCTGCCAATAGAACCCCATTCACAATTTTTTACAATCCAAGGTGAGTTTGATACCATATATCCTCCATCCTTTTCCACATCCTGTTATGTTCCCTTTATCTAAAACACCTTTCTCTTCTCTCTTTTGGAAGAACCTGCCCTTCAGAATTTGTCATCCCTTTGGCAAGATACTGTAAACCTGTATATGGTACGAGGTTCAGAATGATGTTCGAGACAGAGGAGTCCGGGAAACATAGGTAAGTTTCTAGATAATTTCAACCTCACCATTTTTTTCCGACCTTAAGGTGTCAGAAATTTTTGTTGTAATGGTCATTGTGAGGTCAAGGCACCCCTTTATGATGTCGGATTGTTAAAGGTTAGCTACACTTTTGCATCTGTTTCAATTGTTTCTTGGTAACATTTGATTATATAACTGCAGAAAGATTCCTCTGTATGAGAAAAAATAACAATGCTGTCTGTTAATGTTTCTCATTTCTCTGCAGATAGTACAATAGTTGGTATTAGTGACTTGGATCCTCTAAGATGGCCTGGCTCGAAGTGGCGAAACTTTCAGGTGTTCTTCCATTTAGCCAAATATCTTTGGTTGCACCAGGACACTGGTTTGCATCGTCCTATTAAATAATATAGTTTTATCTACTGGCCAGTTTAATAATGGAACTTCATGTATCTGTTCTCAAAACAGGTTGAATGGGATGAACCATAATGTATCAATAAACAGGACAGGGTCAACGCATGGGAAATCGAAACTCCTGAAAGCCTCTTTATTTTTCCTTCTCTAACTTCGGCTCTCAAGCGACCATTATATCCTGGAATTTTTGGTGAGCAACATCTTTAGGTACGTATTGAGTGGCTGTTGTTTATGTTCACAGAAGCAGAATCTGAATGGGGAAGCTTGATAAAAAGACCCGTCCTCCAGTTTCCGCCTGAAAACGGGAATCTTCCCTTTTTGACGTCAAGTTTATGTTCTAAACAACCGACGAAGATGATGCTGAAGCCTCAGCTTATTAACCCTCCCAGAATGTTAGCATTTGCTTTACAACAAACCTCTGCTGCAAAGTGATCTCCATTAGAAGAGATGAGGACCGTTCAGCAGTCTACAAGTAATCATAAATCTCAACTTATCGAAGCAGAAAATCTGTTGATAGAAAACCAAAATCTTTCCCAATTAGTTCCTTCCCAACCTGATCCAATTAGTACGGTAATGGGAGGCTACAACCCGTAAACAAATCGGAAAACCAAACGTAGCCTAGGACCAATGATGAAAAGCTGAAGTTGGAACCAGAGCATTCAACTGAACAGTTAAGTCAATTGACTTCAACATCCAAATGCAACGGGGAAGAATTAGCTGCAAATGTTGTAAGTTCAACTATTTTAAACCGTTTTTTCCCCAAACCAGAACCTGGTTCCATTCCAGTTGCAAAATACTCCATGGCTCGATCTGCCACAGTCGGAATCATCGGTCGTCCAAGCTCATCAAGTGCAGGTACCTCAAGCTGATATTAGTACTTTAAGTAGCCTTCTTCCTTTCTTAGGCACCAATGGATGGACATCAAACCTCTCTTCTTGCCAACCTCTTTCCGGGATTTATAGATCACCTGGCGATATGCCATTGTGTGGGTTACAAGACCTTTCAGCTGTCTTTTCTGAAGCAACTAACCCTTTTACTACTGGGGTTCAGGACACATGGGACCACCAGCTGAACGGTCGTAGGTCTTTAGCTTCAGTCACTCAACATATCCTATGCAATCTCAGTTCTGGTGGGGTGAGAGATTTTTCTGAGGTCAGCATTAAAGAAAGTGAGATATACAGCTGTCTTAACATCGATGTCAGTAATGGTACTAGTACCGTGATCAATCCTTTGGTTTCCGGTGTCATTCTCGATGAGTTTTGTACTAAAGGATGCAGAGTTTCAAAATCCTTGTTTGGTTGGAAACTTTAGTTCTAGTCAGGATATTCAGTCTCAGATCACCTCTGCTAGCCTTGCAGACTCTCAGGCTTTCTCTCAACAAGACTTACCAGACAGCTCCGGTGGCACATCTTCGAACAATGTTGATTTTGATGAGAGTCTCTTTCTGCAATACAATTCATGGCAGCAAATGACTCCACGGGTGAGAACATATACTAAGGTACGATTTTCCTTTAGATTATGAATATGAAAGTTCTTGAGGCATCAACTGGAGCAATGTGCAGATTTCATTTGTTCTTGCTTACAGGTTCAGATGGCAGGATCTGTTGGACGGTCAGTTGATGTCACGAGTTTTAAGAAATACGAAGAACTAATCTCCGCAATTGAATGCATGTTCGGACTGAAGGGGCTGCTTGACGCTGCAAAAAGCTCAGGGTGGAAATTAGTATATGTGGATTATGAGAGTGATGTTCTACTTATTGGGGATGATCCATGGGAGTAAGTATATTCATTACATACACATATACATGTATATTTGATTTCTATGCAACCTTTGGAGTGTCGACAAGTATTTTATTGGCGCAAGTTCACATTTTACCATGTAATCAGCTAATCCAGCTTCTAATGAGCTAAAATTTGATGTCGATGCAGAGAGTTTGTCGGGTGTGTCCACTGCATCAGAATCCTATCCCCTACAGAAGCACAACAGATAGTGAAGAGGGGATGAAGCTTCTCAACAGCGCCACAATGAATTGCATTAACGGCTCCAAATAAGAAGGTTGCAAATTGCAATGCTTAAAGATTCCACCACCTGAATTGGCATTTCCGCTATTCCATTGTTAATTTGTTGGTGTAAAAAAATGGCAGGAATTCAGCTTTTCTGAAATCAGATATATATTCTTGAGTTTTTAACAAAAATACAATTTTCAGCATGAAACGATCTTTTAGCAAATACTAGATCAGAAACCAGAAATTAGAGCATACATTGCTGATGAATGATGAGCTAACATCTTTCCGACATACATCACATTCATAACATTAGTATATGACAAGCAATGTGATACTTTTTGAATCTCATTCGAATCTCATCTTCATATTTTTTGGATTTACCTTTACTCGATCTCCAACAGTTGGAATCAATTTCCAAGTCAGTCATTGCAGAAACAATGTCCTATGTAATGTTAGCTGCTCTTTTCAATGCAGTAATCATATATAAGATGGCAAGTAGCCTTCTCAATTAATTTATTCTCAATTGATACTGGAACTATCGAATCTTTTCTCGATATACTGGAACTATCGAATCTTTCTTCCACGGCTTCTTTGACATATTGTAAATTTCTATCATGCTGACAACCAATGGTAATATTAACCAAAGCTTAAGAACTCACCTAAGTTTTGATATGGGAACATGGAGATTTGTGGAAGAAATTATAAAGCGAATTTTTATTGGTCATTGAAAGGACTAACAAACAAGACAACAAGTTCATGTCATTCTATCAGAAAATTACATGGAAAATCAGGCATGCTAGGAATGCACAAGGCATGATTTCTTCTTCTAGAAACAAGACACAACAATCCATGCTTAGAATCATGACATCTATTGGTGAATGCAAACATAGATATCAGAAGGGGAAATTTGGGGACTTGGTTGTAAGACTGCAAAACAAGTCCAGAATCATAAATGAAAAATATAACTTGTCACTGGGCATAACCAAAACCATTTAAGGCATTAATGCAAGAAAAGTGATATCTGCCCTTGGCCAGGTTGACTAAAAAACATTTGCAAACTGGGACGGTTCACCTCAGAAGAAGATGATGCATATGATTGGTGATCCCAAGAGTTTATCAAGAAGATGGCCGAGCAATTAAGCACAAATAAAAACCAACATTGCTAGAATATACTTTTCTTGCTTAATATATGTGAAGCACTTCGAAGAGATTGAGTCAATTCAGAATACTACTTTTTTAAGCTGTATTGGCTGTTTCAACAAATTTTGCCCAGCAATAGTGTGCAAATGGCATGCCACGATCAATTCAAGCCGAGACAAAATCATATCACAGCAAACTTTGCTATTATTTGCAGACAACTACTGCTAGATGCAGCAAAAAAAGTTCCCTTATGACAACTACTGCTTAGACAAAGTCATATCACAGCAAACTTTGCTATTATTTGCAGACTAATTCTAGATGCAGCAAAGAAAGTTCTCTTATGACAACTACTGCTGAGACAAAGTCATATCACAGCAAACTTTGCTATTATTCGCAGACAACTACTGCTAGATGCAGCAAAGAAAGTTCTCTTATGACATTAAACAGGTGAAATCAAAGCACCCAAATGGGGTTCTAAAGAGTAACTCAAACGGATAAGTGTTCAATTGAACTAGGATTAAAAAAATTAAGAACTCTAGCAGCATAAATCAGTCTCCAAAATGTTCATATAGGAGCACTTCCCCAGGCTTCATCGTACAATGGAACAATTTATTATCTTTCAAAGTGACATCAAGTAAAATGGCTGAGGTAAGACGGAGTGGATTTACTGCTTCTTCTCTTCTGCTTTCCTTGGCTGAAGAAAAAGGGAAAGAGGTTTGGAGAGAATAAACAAGATAACAGTAGTTTAGAAACCATTTTTGCATTTTGAAACAGTTTTGCCATAATTAGGCATATAAGAAGAAAAATATAAACAGAAGACAAATACAAGGAAAAACTATTAATCAACAGGTTTGATATGCTCAAGCTAATCATTTTAAGCAAGCAGGAAGTTAATAGATCAAATGATAATCAAACTCATACCCCATTATATGATAATTTCAAATCCTACCAAGACATACCAATCGTTCGACAAAATACCTCTACCAAAAAAACACAAAGAACCAACAACTGAAAATCAACCCAGAAGAGAAAATGCCCAAACCTTGGTTCCAGGAAACGATTGGTGAAGCTCCTCCTCGGGTATAACAACGGGCCACTTCTCGCCTGCTTCACGGAACATTTGCTCGGTCTCAAGGAACTGGCCCTTTTCGAGGATCATGGTCCTTATGGTTTGAGCAGGAGTGGATGTGGCATCGAAAACTTCTTCCACTCCGTTGACGAAAGTAACGGTGATTTGGGGCGGGTGATCGTCCGTACGGCGCTTGACCTGTAGTTGGCAGGCGGGGTTGGACTCTTTGGCTTTGGGGGCGTTGCACTGGGCTAAGAACTCCATGCATGAAGCTATGCGTGGGTCCAATGCATTGAACTCGATCTTCACTTTCGATAGAAACTTCAACATCTTCTTCCTTCAGTCTTTCCTGGTACAGAATGCAGAGCATGTCATTTACTCTTATATGGGCTCGTTTGGGTTTTCTCTTACCTTCTTGTTTAACGTAAGCAATTGAGAAGGTTCAATGGGCCATCATAAAATTAATTTTTTTAGGGAAAACTACACTGGTGTGGTGATGCCTTTGTCTTTATAGAATATTGAAAAAAAATTATATGTAATCATACAATCTTAACGGTGGATTAAGATAAATTTTATATTATAATTTTATTAATATTAAAATATATTTTTATATGAATTAAAATAGAAAAATTATAATATAATTTATAAAAGATTATATAAATTAAATTATTATTATTATTATATAAACATATTATAATATATATTTAGATCTTTTGTGTCTTTATTTTAAAAAGAATATAATAATACATTTATTATTGTAAGTTACTTTTAAAGGAATTTGAAGGATTGTAGCATAGATTTGTGAAATTTGTTATAATTTTCAGTAAAATATATATAATATTTGCATTCAAGAGGTTAAAAAGAAGTTTACTAAAAATCTTAGGGTCTAACTATTGTCGATGACAATTATCAATGATGACAATTGACAATGATCGACGAGAGTGATGATCGACGATAGAAAACATGAACTTTGACTGAATTCATGGGTCAAATTGATATTTTATCAAAATTTTAAGGATTAAATTAGTATCAATATAAAGTTTCGGGTTAAATTAGTATTATATCCAAAATTAAAGAGTCAAATTAAAATTTAAATATTTTTATTAATGTGTCACGTCATCAAACTAACGAGAGTTATAATTTTGTATTCTCACAAAAAAAATTACAAATTTGTAATTAAAATAAGACAAATCAAAAACAAAAATGACCAAAATAAAGGGTTCGTTTGGTTCTATAAAATATATTTTTTTATTTTCTGTTTTTATTTTCATAAAATAATTTTTATTTTCAGTTTTCCAAAAAGTAGAAAACATGTTTGGTTAGTAAAAATAAATTTTATTTTTAAAATTGCAAATAATGAAAATGTGTTTGGTACCCAATTTTCTAAAATAAAAATAAAATAATAATTAAAGTAAAATATGAATATTAGAAAAATATAATAATAATAATAATAATAATAATATATGATTAAATAAATGAAAGTTTTGAAATCAATAAAAAAAAGATTACAATCTTTTTCTCCATAAAAAACAATAATTAGATGAATGAAGTAAGGACTAACATAGAATTTAAAAATAGTTTTCAACATGCAATGGACGCACCTTAGTTACAAGTTACAAGTTACAAGCATTAACATTAAACGAAAAACTACATAAGAATAATAATAAATTTAATGTGAAGTTAGTTATTTACCTGGCAAATATAAAACCATCATATCAGCAGTTAACTTGTAATTTATGAACTTTAAGATAATTGATATTTAAATATTAAAAGAAAGGTAAAAAAGTAATCACAGAAAGATAATTTTAGTAGGACCTGAAGTTGTACTAAAATAAAATATTTAAATGTGAATTAAATCAAAAAGATACTATTAGAACTTTAACTCTGTATAATTAAATTAAATTAAAAAATAGTTATATAAAGATTTTAATTCAATTCAATGCAAAGAATATTTTATTTGAAACTGGAAGTCGGCTTTTATGGCATAAGTAAACAAAAAGTCATAATGAATGGACAAATAAGTTAAGAAACAACGCTTATTCCTAAAAAGCAAAATAGTGAAACGGATATTAAAGAAATTGTATTTTACAGCCTAAATGAAATGAAAAATAGCTGGCTCCAACTTTCTCTGTATTCTCGAAGTGAAACAATGGATCGCCCAGCACAAAGAAGCAAACGCCACCACACCAAGTTCGACTTTCTATGCTCAATCTATCTTCATAACCTCTATGGTGGATCGATGTTCTTCCTGTCCTCCACCGCTTGATTTTCAACAGTTGCTGGCGCTTCTTCCACCCAAAATTGGTCCTCTGTATCATACTCTGTCGCTGCTGCAAGTAAGTGGGTTGTTTTATTACATGATCGTCGGATAAAACAGAAAGAGCACACGGAAAAGGATTCTGGCCTTTACCTAATTTCCCAAGTCAAAGCACTGATCTCTAATATATTTGACTCAGGGGAGCGAAGCTTTTCAATTACTGATCTTGAATCTCCTTCGACTATAATCACATGGAAACCCATATCTGTAGCGAATATGATTGCATGTTGTCGGAATCGTCTTTCGGTTGGATTCAAAAATTGAGTTTCGACTTGGATTAAATGAATTAGACTCGTCACCGATCGTTTTAAAACATTATTTAGATAGATCGGACACCATCTTACCTGATCTGCATCTTACCAGTGATATGTCATATTTGAGAGTCGGTTACAGTCAAGAAAATGTTAGCACCCTTGAACTATCCTTTCGATACTATATAATTTCTAGTTGTTTTTAGTTAAGAAAAACATAACTTTAAATTAAAAGGTAAAATAACAATCCTAACGGCTTACCTTAGATTGATTTGAAAATGTGCCTTTAAAATGATAATGATGTTAGATTCATAGTGTAGTACAAAATTAAATTAAGTTAAAAACGTGTAAATATGAAAACAAACAGAAACGAGAAATAATGAGATAAGTAGACATAAGAATAAAACAAAACTAAATAAAAGGGTAACATGAGTAAAAACGTAACAAAGTAAAAAAGAATAAAAAAATATGAAAACATAAAACAAAAGCAAATACATAAAAGAAACGAAAAAAACAAAACAAAAGAAAAATAAAATAAAATATGAAAACAATATATGTATGATAATAAGTTATGGTACATTAAAAAGAAAGATAATGAATACATTATATATAATTGAAAAAAATACAATAAAGAATATACATATAATGATAATAATAGTGACAAAAGAGAAAAAAATATATTTATATACGTCAATAGTAAAATAATAATAAATATAATAGTTATAAATATATATATAATAACTTTAAAAAATATTAAAATAAAAAAAATATTAGAATAAAAATAAAAAATATATATATTTAATAATACGAATTATCAAAAAGAAATAAATAAAAATATAAAAATAATATATAAGGGACCGTTATGAAAGAAAAGATAAAAATTGGGATCAAATTAGAATTGAATTGAGTTTTAAAAATTGAATTAGGGGGCTAAATTAAACACTTTAAAAATTGGGGGACCAAAACGTGAACCCCCTTCTTATTAAAAACACGCGGGTCAGACGAGGTCACGGGTCGGGTCAGGCGTCTGATGGGTCTACTATAAAACCAAATTTCTTTTCTAATTTCTCATTTCCTTCCTCCTCCCACGAAAACACTACCCCCTTGGCTCAAAAATTCTCTCAAGTGTTCTTGAGATTCAAGAACAAGAGCCGTGCGCTGCTTGAAAATTGTGGCCACCGCCTCGCCGCCGCTCATCGGCGGTGGTCCACCACAAAACCCGTCTTTTTTAAAGACCACTCTCTTCCCTCAGTCCAGAAATCCAAGTGGTTTCTCAAAAAATCAGCTCGAAAAATGTGGATCTAGGAAATAGGGTTCGAGAAAATAAAAGGCCTCACTTCGTTCATCGGCCAAAACGTTTGTTTCTGGTGGTTTTTCGAGTCAAGAACAACGAAACGAACGCATGCAAGCCTCAAAACGAAAAAAAAGGTACAAACTTTACCTTCTGTTGCTTTCAAAATCTTAAAAACGTTTCTGCTTTGCCTTGATAGTGCTCGTGATTTTGCTCGAAAGTTTCTGCTTTTATTTCGTATCAACTCATAGTGTACAAATGAATTGATTACATGTATTTATACTAAAAATAAACTATTTTTAGCTTGATTTCTGAGCCCTACTCGAACTAAACTAATGCCTTATTTGCTATTTTTTCGGTGTCCCAAACATCCACGTTGATGTGGTTGTTATATGAGGGATGGAGTGCCTTGAAACTCGACGTTGAATGTGTGAAAGGAGAGCTGGTAGCGGCGTGATACCCTTGGAGTCTTGGTGACGCGGCACAGATGAGAACCGAATGGAAAGCTAGGGTTTCTGGAAACCTTTGCGTGTTGTGGACCATTGGATCACACCTTGATCCAACGGTTCCCATGGTTGGCGGCTGGGACAAGAATGGAGTGAGCTAGGGTTTCTGAAAACCCTAACCTGTTGCGGGTCTGGACCATTAGGCGTGGTTGGGCCTGATACAAGATGTAAAACATGTTTATAATAATATTTATACAATATATGTAATATATATATATATAAATATATGTTCATTTCAGTCACAAAAAGTGTGTCTATAGCTGCCCCTCTTTGCCCATAGTCATGTAACGAGGATAGGGCAAAGATTAAAAGACACACTTTTCATTTACCACAAACGTATCATCCCTATAGGGGTCAAATCCCATCGAATATCCTCTGTAGAGTTAAAATCCGATAATTGGATTAAATCACAAAATTACTCCCTCGTCGTGAGGTCGGGTTAAACTGGAAACTTCTGAGCGCGATATCTTTCGTCGTGAAGTTGAAATCGTACTCAAAACCCTTGGTAAGTGGCCTCTGAACCGTCTTCTAGCTCACGATACTTCGTCGTGGAGGTGAAAAACTTGTCCTGAAGACTTCGATATTGATGTGTCATAGATGACTCACTCGTCGTGAAGTTGGGTCAATCTGTTGGTGAAGTTGGAATTGTATACGGCCTCTTCATCGTAAAGTTGACCCTGGGAATTGGATATCATCCAATGTAAGTTGCGTTGTTTCGAGGCCAACATCCTCCGCCGTGAAGTTGAAATTAACTCTGAAACTAGAAAGTTTATTGACAGACACTCCTTCTTTGAGTTGAATATCCTTCGTCGTGAAGTTGAAATCTAATCTAGAGATGGATGTTGCTTGTGTGCACGATTCCCTTCGTTGTGAAGTTGAAACCGTGGGTGACCCCTTCGTTGTGAAGTTGAGCCTGATAATTGGATATCCTTCGTCGTGAAGTTGAAATCCAAGTAAGTCGTATTGCTACGAGTCCAATATCCTTCATCGTGAAGTTGAAATTGGTTCTGGAACTGGAAAATTGT